TTCATTTTTCTGGACTGGCTGTCGAGTGTGCTGTTTTGGCTTCTACTCGGACTGTTGCTAAGTGATCACCCAGCATGAGGAAAGGCATGTCCACTAGAATGTGAAGATGTAGGATAGAAAGGAAACTGCTGCAAACAAACCTTTCTCTCGTAGGTGTTATTTTAACCCCTGCCATTCTCAAATAAAATCCAAATAAACAATACAGTCAACTAAAACTGAAATATAAATCATTTTGCAGCGTCTTTGTTGAACAATCCAACATAACCAATGTTTTTATTTTGTCTCACCTTCACTTTATTATGCCTCGTCAATTTCATCTAGCAGATCCTCGACCACGTAAGTCAACTCTTTACGGGAGAGCTTTGACATGTCCAGTTCGTCAGAGTCTCGTACTGGATCTTCATTTCTAAAACAGCAAAGATGTATTTATTTTTCTATTATGGTTTAATTTGATTGAATTTAACAGAAAATAATACTATAGGTATTTGACAAGGTAGTTAGCTAATGACTGATTATTTAATTATTTATATATAACGGGGCTGGCCTGAGATAATATTACCTTTCCAACTGATCAATCTTAGCAGTGAAGAGATCGACTGGGGAGCGAGGAGCGGCCATGAGCTGCACAGGCACACCCAATACCATAAGGTCCTCGGTGAGTTCATGAGATAAACTTGGCCCGACTGCAATTAAAATGCAAGAAAAAAGAAACGACCTTTATGTTTTTTATCAGCTATAGTTATATTGACTTCACACCTTCGTCTTGAAATTTTGTTTATGCGAATGCTTTCTCTTCTGGACTTTTGAAGACAAAAAAAAGGAACGTAAATGTGAAATACTATGAGGTCGAAAGAGACAACTAAAAGCAAACCTTTATTTCCTCCTCCAAAGATATTTCTAATCCTCCTGCAGAACCCTAATTTCCGTTGACTCTCTGAAGTTAAATATTTCAAAAGATAAAAACTTGTTTCATCAAGGTATCTTGAAGCCATAACTGTGTTTATTCACTTATGACAGTGATGCCGAACTCACAACATCTCACATGTATCGCAATTTCTACAATGTTACACCTATATTTATTATTTCGATATTTATTTATTTATTCGTTGTATTTTACATATATTCACCATCGTTGGACTCTTTCCAGTGATGACTGTTAATAACATCAACTACAATGAGAACAAAAAATATGCTTATGATAATTAAGGTTCAAGTTGAAAAATTCAATTATGAAAAATATCGAATGTAACCTGCTATTACGTTCGTTGGTAATTTGATTTTCCTCTAAAGTAAAAAAAAAGTAATATGGAATAACATGAGACGTTTAGGAAAAAAATATTAATATACTTACTAGATTGCGAGCATCCCATTGTTATAATTAATCAAAAGCAATAACTTCAGCGTTAAGTCAGCGATTACTTTGCCGCTATGCGAGTTAAGTGCATTATGGTACAGTCATTATTATGACGTCACCATCTGATGGTATGTAGTGACGTCACGTACAACAATGGATTTCATGAGGTCTTCATTACAGCATTTTTGTTACATTTGATTTATGTGCAAAAACGAATGTTCCATAATCTTCTATAGAAACTGAACCTAATTTTAAATCACCAAAGCAACAAAACCTTCAGATACCATCTCTTTTCTTATCCTCCATGAAAAGGAAGACCACGGAGTCACGATGTGCTATAAGGGTGGTTTCGTCATAGGCCTAACGACCATCTATAACCCTCTCATCTCATATTCCGGCGAAGCNTCTTTGTTTATATGGATCAGAATAAGTGACATAAAGCATACATTTATACAAATATGTCTCTGTAGTCTATGTATGTAATGTCCATATTTTTGCTTATTTTTGCGTGTAGGTGTTGGAGGTATTGAAGCTGAAGCAGTGATGTTAGGCCAGGCCATCAGCATGGTCCTACCAAAGGTTGTGGGATATAAAATTACTGGGCAGCTGAGCCCCTTGTGCACATCCACTGATGCTGTCCTTACCATCACCAAGGTAAGTCTTGTATCATCTTTAATGGTAGCAAAGGGGATTTAACATATGAAATATACTTCAGCTCAAGGTAAGCATTTTAGTTCACATAGCAGCATTGAAATATGGGACAAGTATTGGAAAAACGGAAGAAATCCAAATGCAAACTGTTTTGTATTTTTTTTTTTTTCTGTATTTTTTTTTTTTTTTCATATGATAATTCCTTAACAACCCTTTTTCTTTAATACTGTATATTTTAGCATCTGAGACAGATAGGGGTGGTGGGCAAGTTTGTAGAATTCTTTGGGGATGGTGTGGCCTCCCTGTCCATTGCTGATAGGGCCACAATCTCCAACATGTGCCCA